CCCCCCCTCCCCTCCGTATTTCGTTCTCAGTGAAAAGTGGAGACACTTGGGAAGTAGCCCGGGTGGTAGCAAATGCCAACAGCAACGATCCGCTGGCAAGGCTGTTGGTAACTCCCTTGTCAAACCAGCAGAGTCAATTGGTTAACAAAGGAAGCTGGAATCCGGTAAACACAGGAAGGTAAAACTTTATAGGAATATTCTCTGTCCACGTGTGAGCTGAAGTTTTTAAATTCAGCAATTGCGCACGCTTACATCTTGCATATGGTTACGTCAAAAACCGTAGGTTGGCGCCACGCAACTCGAGAACTAGCTGGAGAACAATAGGTTCCAGGATATTTGTCGTTCATCTGGGAAAACGTGAGCTAAACGGAGTTTCGAACTGTACTTGTGCCACACCTTAGGGCACGTCAAAGATATTTGTTGAATTGGCGATTTAGCGTACCGGACAAACTGCAAAACTGAAATTTTGCACGGATATTCCATATTCACCTATGGTCTAAATTCAGTTTGAAGGCTAAATTTCCCGCACATGAACACGACAAACATTCAATTTTATCGCGACTTCAAAAACGAGTTCATTTTACGAATTCCATAATCCTTCTCTCTGGACATTTTATTCATTGTCCAATTAGCATCTTTCAGTGAACGACCGGTCCGGAATTATTCATTTCCCTTCGTGCAAAATTTATGGCAATCATACGTGCTGGACTTTAAAATTCCACGCGGCCTACGGTGCAACACTACTCTTTCAGCCGACGCTTTTTTCCTTTTCATGCAAGAAGAAGCTGAAAGGCAGTATAAACTGTAAACGAACAGACATTCATACTATTAGCGATCTGACTGCTTTAAGTACAACTCAGAAACACGTGGTCGTATCGGCAAGCTTGGTGCATCGCCACCTGAGTTTTAGTAAGTCAGATGTCTACGGACATTTTTGTTTAATTATTTGCACATTTTGTGTAGTTCAAGCCCTGAGTTCAGTTTCTCAAACGCATTTTTTAATGAATTCTGGAATGCGACAGTCACGCTATTTTCCAATGCAATAGCTCTGTGGGGTGAGCGTTAGAAAAAAATATTTCAGGAAATGGCGGAAAAGATATTTAAGGCACTAATGAGGCATGTTTACGTGGCATCTTTGACTGAATATATGTACGAGCTTACATTGTTAGCATTATCTTGTCCAGCGCCTTGTTCCACAGTAGCAGCAGATTTCTCAACTGTTTGTGCTTTTTCTTCCTCTTGTTCTGTGCCACAGTCGTCGCCATCACTTTCATAGATCACTTCGATATCATCTAGAATCGCCATATCGCCTTGATCGCTCACAAAATTACTCGCCACAAACACAATCTGGAAAATATGCTTCAGGACAGAAAAGCGAGGATTCCTTTTTTTTTTCATCAGTTTTACACAATATCCATAAAAGGACATATTGGGTAGTCTCGCACAGCCAAATTAGACTTACATCGATCAGTGACGCTTTCGGCAGAACTAATTCCGTTGCACCAAGTCCATTTACAAGTGGAAATTCCTGACAGTTTAAGAGTGGATTGAAATTAACAGTATTTGGGAACGACTCTCGTTGACAAACTTGCAAAAGAACATTCTCCGACTGCCAATGCCTGGAAAAATGCGAATGATCTTTTAAGCGTACGGTGTTCCAACAGTTCCGTGATTCAGTATTTTTGAGGTTATTCCGATCATGGAATAGTAAGAGTGCAGCACGAACGCAGTTTATTGTGCCATTATTCTGCAAATGCGCAGGCCGGCTTCAGAATATGTATAGAAAAAAGAATAACTTGACTGCTTGTGAGGGAGCAGTGATACCTTGCCCTGACGATAATAGGCGATGATGCGCAGCCTACTGCGCATGATGCGAACTGTGCTTCGTCTGATGGCGCTGAACTGCTAGCGTAGGTCACCAGATAGTTGCCGTCTAAATGACCAATTTCCTTAGTTAATGTTCATTTATTAGTTGGATGTATTTAGGAATCTGCTGGATCAGAATGCAGTAAACCACTAGGATTGGAGTTCTAAAATGTACCGTGGTGGAGTATCGATTCCACCGGGACTGTTTCCTGTAATGCGGCTCAACTCAGCTAACACTGTAATAGTGTTGAAAGGCTAAGCCGGAGGTTGTACTGACACCCTAATTTACCCGACCTCAGCTGGTTGAATTCGAGAGTGATAATTAGCAGTGCTGGTGTTAAATGGGCGACAATTGTGTTCCCCATACTCTATTTTATAGCTTACTTGGAACAGGAGCGTTCTGAAAATGCGGCGAATTCGGCGCACCACTGGCCAAATGCCAATCGAGCTGGTCATCTGGTGGTGGAACATTCGCCCAGCAGCATGGATGTGAATCAAAATTGCAGCTTAACGCTTCCCCTGAAATCAGCTCCACTCAGTCTGATTTCGCCTGCTTTATCTCATTAAATTTCCTACTACTACGATGAAGTTTTTGTTCGATATATCTGAATAGATACATATGAAAAAGGATTGGTGGGCACAGAGGAAATGAGGATATAAGTGGGAGAGTGTCATAAAATTCATTCAGTCGCGCAACTAATTCTATAGACATAATTGGAGGTACAGATTCAAATGGCGGAATAAATGCGACTGAAAGAATGCGCCCCGAGCATTGTGCCCGAAACCGGAATAGCACTTCACGTCGGTCCTTCGGAACGCAGCTGAAGCGTTCCAATCAAAATTCCATCTATAAGTTTAAGAAAGTCAAAAACCCCCCTAATAAATGGTAACAGCAAGCAGAAGACTAATGCTCATGATACACTGCTGCATGGGTGTCCAGTGCAAGTGAAACAAGAGTCTGACACCGCTACAACGAACTGGCGTTTTTACAGCCTTTCTGAAATACGCATCGCTCAGATGACTACTGTACGTTGCTTTGTTGAAATACTGAAGGAAATGATAAGTCGGTTAAAAAAACAGCGCACTCAGGGCCTCTTTAGATCAGAAAAATGAGTAGATTAGATCAGCTCGCTGTTCAAAAATAGAAAGCCTTCAAGACAGCACTGTCTGCTTGAGAACATTTCCAAAATTTCGTCTTTCGAATTCTCCCAGCCCCCAAAAGTCATCCACACGGATAGAAGGTTTGTATACACCCATACGTGCATACATGCATACACACAAACACTAATTTCTGCCGGATCAGGAGTGAACTAGTTACGGCTTTTGTGGCAAACTTTTTTAATGATATATTGCAAATATCCGGAAAATCTGTTTCCTGAAACTGCTCAACTGCAAATTGCTAAAGAAATACTATAGATTTTACACCAAGTTTTACACTGACTGAATGCGTTTTTGTCAACAAGATTGGCCTAATCGTAAAAGCGAGAGTAAATGTGGTGGAGATAAAGCCTGTGTTTCGTTAAACGGGAGGGAAGGAAAAAGGATAATACCCTGGCACCAAGCTGTAAATACCTAGGCCCCAGATTCATAACACTGCTTGTCTAAATATGTTATAAGTTAATGGTTATAGTGCGCAGAACTATAAACAGACTGAGAAATTTAATCGCGCTAAATGCTTTGTTGTAAATTCAAACGCATAAAAAGCAATTACCAGCGGCAACAGGGCCACCTCCTTCAGCATTGTATCCATTGGAATCGAATTCGTGCAATGTTATCTTTGGCCCCAGCAAATCTGCAAATAAAGCACATGCAAATATCACACGTTGGTAGAACGCTTCTCGAAAACAACCCAGGCTGGAACGCACCAGGCGAGCAGGTGCGATCATGCGTTTTTGCATCAAACTTTGAGGT